CTGCTGCTGCTGCTGCTACTACTAAGACCACAACTACCACTACCTGTCACTGCCGCTGCCACTACCACTCCCGCTGTTGCTGCTGCTCCTGCTGCTAATGCGGCAACGACTGAAACATCCATTGCAAATGCTCGCAATACCCCCTGGTTTCGCAGTGTGCAGCTAGCTTGCTTGCTACTTCCCCGAAAACAGTCCTCATTTCCAAACCCCAAGATAAAACATATTTCACGGCTACAGAACATCGCATAACTCACGGCCTCGGAGTTCGTAACGACGGCGCCCACGCCGATGGTGTGGCTTGCGTTGGCAGGCAGTGTGTTGGGAGCATCCGTCGGCAACCTCAACGTATGCGCATGACAAGAATAACGAATCTCCTCTGCCGCTACTGACTAATTACTGCTACGGCGATGGCGAAGGCTAAACCCTAAACCCAAACTACCACTACCACTACTGCGACGACAACTGTGGCTTGGGCGGGGCCGGCTGGGCTGGCTGGGCTAAGATGACGACGACAACGACTACAAAAGCAGTGACGGCACAGCGACGACCACCATCTCTGCCACCAGCTCGCTGCAATCATCGGCATTTTTGCACTTACTGCCAAACCTTCCGAATAATTATAGGGTGATAACGGCTAATGCTGATGCTGACCGTAGTAATGACGCCGGCAATGGCCTGCTCTACCCTGGACTCTCGTCACGACATGATCTGACGATGGCATCGGGTCGGTCACAGTTCGCGTAGAAGTTGGGTTTGCGGCTTCCTGCCTGTTTGGCAAGCCATCTCACCGACACGCAATCCACGAAAAACTGTTCTGGACATCGGCCAAGCTGCCATTTCGTCATCATGACATGATCCGGCTCTGCCTCAGATACTCGAAGGCAGAAACGCCTTGCTACGAAGAACCGTGACATTGCGGCTAGCTGCAACTGCCTGATTGTTGGCTGCCAAGCAGCATGGTGAAATTCGAAGCCGAACTCTTTGGTGGCGATGGGAATCCTAAGCTTGGGGTTTGATTGTCATGAAGCATATTAGCAAGAATAGATGGGAAAGTGAGGTTGGCAATATGCCTCACCTGCTCAGAGCCTCATGGTCTCCAGAAGAGTGTCCCACATGAGGGCCCACATACGGATCCAATCAATTTCAAATTCTGCGGCTCGACTTGCAACGAGAAAAAAGATGAGCCGCTAGCTCGTACGGCCTTCGAAAGGTGTCTGCAGTAGGACCAATACTGAGAAGAAACCCTAAACCCTAAACCCTGAACCCTAGCAGTCCTGAAGGAGAACTTTTCATAGCGTCAACCGAGCCGACGAAACTTCTCAAGGCAAAGGGGCAGCGACGATGCATCGATACTCAGGTGAAGCCACCTAAAGCCCAGGAAGGATAGAGGAGTCAGGCTTCCAGGGTTTAGGGTTCAGGGTTCGCCATCAGGCAAGGCTATATCGCACAGACTTCTCGACTGTCTCAAGTTGCATCCCATGCTGTCTGGTCAATATAGGGGTCGAAGGAACTATTGGGCACATCCGCTTAGAGTTCTTATATAATGAGAGCAGAGCATACCCCTTCGATCTTGTTGTAATTAATTGTCAAGGTTGTGAAGGTCTTTAGACCATAGAGTCGTCTCATGTGGCAGCTGCATGGGAACTTAGCGTCAGCTCCGAGCGTTTGGTTCAACCCAAGGGCTTTGTGGAATGAGGCTCCTATACTGGTATTATAAGGGCTTAGGGGTTTAGTAATACTAAAGCCCTAAAACCCCCTAAACCCTAAACCCTAAACCCTTATGGTACCCTTGATTGCCCTTTCATGCAGATTACAAGCAGTAGCGCCAAGAGCCAGGCTGCTAGAACCCTGAAGCCGTGAACTTTAATGACCTTTCCTGGCCTTGCCCCCGTAAAAGCTGCAATTCTGTCCAGAGCTTTAAAGGGTTTAGGGTTTAGGGCTTAGGGTTTAGGGTTTAGGGCTTAGGGTTTAGGGTTCTTTAAAGCTCGCTTGCATTCTGAAGGCTCGAAGCTGAGATCCCGGCACGCCACGCTTCTTTTCCTTCTGCCACTCCTCCAGCGATGAAGCCTCAGCTCTTGGCCATGAAGCGGTTTAGGGTTTAGGGGTTTAGGGGTTTAGGGTTTAGGGGTTCAGGGGTTTAGGGGTTCAGGGGTTTAGGGTTTAGGGTTTAGGGTTTAGGGTTTAGGAAGAACCTGGCACCCTGCCGGGTTCCTTTCACGGGTTCCTTTAACGGGTACTATGAGGGTACTATGCTATGAGGGGACTATAAGGGTCCTAATTGTCTTCTCATTCCCAGTCTTTGTGCTGACATCGCAAAGAAATGAACACCTGCTGTGGTGCTGCAAGTACGATGAGACAGGGACCTAATGTACGGGCCTTAATAAATAGAATAGGGTTTTGGCCTCTTTATAGTATATACTTATCGCTTATACGGAACCGCCACTAAGAGGAAAACCACACAGACACGTTCTTTGCGATTCTCATTACATGGCGTGTTTTGTCCATGGCAGTCGGAGAGCAAGACGAAAGAACAAAGGCACACCCACCCCTAACCCTCCAGGTACCTGCTATATAGGGCCCTAGGGGCTCTAGTGCCCTATACCTATAGCCTCCATTGTAGTTCCTTTTTGGGGATACCTTATAAATTCCTTAATATATAATTGGTTAAACCACTACAATGGAGACTATAGGTATAATGGGTACCTGGGGGGTCAGGGCACGGGCCCAAACTGCCCCAACGCGGCGCTCCGAAGCGCGGAGCCGAGGAAGATCAAGGGCAAAGGGCCCGGCAACGCCCCATCACGCCCGAGCAGACTAGGGTTTAGGGTTTAGGGTTTAGGGTTTAGGGTTTAGGGGTTTAGGGTTTAGGGTTTAGGGGTTTAGGGGTTTAGGGTTTAGGGTTTAGGGTTTAGGGTTTAGCCGAAACAGCATTGACACTTGAGCTTGACGTTGTGCTCGACAGTTCGGATGCGAGACGCAAGCTCTGTATAGAAGCCACTGCCCCTAAACCTTAAACACCAAACCCTAAACCCTAAACCCTAAACCCGAAGCCCCTGCAACCCTCTGCTGGGAAGCTTTACTTTAGCACTTTAGGGAGGATGTACCCGGGGCCAGTATGATTCGAGACACATAACTGAATAATGAAGGCCCTATATAGATATTAGGATAGGGTTTTGGAGGTATACTATACTACAACTATTCAGACTAGAATAAGGAACTCCCCAAAATAGTATAGGTCATTGTTAAGGCTCCTATATATAGAAACTGAATACCCATGTGAGGATATGCGAGGCTCAAGCCGAATCCGTGCTTGTCTCGCTTGTTGAAACAGAAAGATGGAAGAATAATCGTGCTCTGTACATCTTTTTAGGAGTTGGGTTTGTTTTTGGGTTTAGGGTGTAGGGTTTAAGGGTTTTTGGGGTGCTCTTTACATATTTTTAGGAGTTGGGTTTTTTTTTGGGTTTAGGATTTAGGGTTTAGGGGTTTTTTTGGGTTTAGGGATTAGGTTATACGTTTAAGTGTGGTGGCCTTTTCGTGCGAGCGAGCCTCTGTTGAGGCGTACACTGTAAAAAGCCCCCTTCACTGGGATTAGGGCTTGAGGTCTACCTGTAGTCTCCATTGTAGTTCCTTTTTGGGGATACCTTCTAAATTCCTTAATATATATATATATATATATATAATTGGTTAAACCAAAAAAAGAACTACAATGGAGACTATAGGTAGGGCTCAGACCTGTGCCGTCGGGGTCAGAAAGCTTGCATCAAGCTTTGTGCATTTCTTAAGTGGGAGAAGTCCTGCGAGAAGCTCTTCACGATATCGTATGGGGCTTTTATGATAGCACCGTAAAGAAATCCTTATCCCTGAATGTCGTCATTGTGAACGTTTGCTTCTCATCGGGCTTTCATGATAAAGTTTGTTAGTGTTTTCTTGTTGTTTTCTTCTTATTGTCTTGCCACGGAAAACCATTGAACCGGACAGGGACATGCCAAGACTAAACCTCAAGTTGTTAATTATACAATCCCGCACTCTCTAAACCCTGAATATAGATATCTAAGCATCTGACCGTGTTGGAATCTAAGCCGGCCCAACACCTTTCCAGCGCAAGAATGAAACCCAAAGCCCTCGCTCTCTCCCTTCCGCCGAGCAGCCAGCATCTCCCGAAAGGTGCTCTCCTCTTTGGGAACACCATCGGGATTGATGATGACGCCACCTGCGCACGAGGTTTAGTTAAGGGAGACGAGCCTCATGCACGCCGCGATCACAAGCTTGTGTCCCTGACCCTGACCCGCACCGTCTAGTTACAGCCGCAATCCCTCAACAACTAGCCTTATAGCGTAGACCTAAGCCCTGGACCCTTGCACCAGTAGCCTGATGGCCTTGTCTAAGAGCCCTGAATGCAGCAGCCCGCGTAAGCTCCGGGCCGTAGTGGTCAAATCTGCAAGGCAGCGTCTTCGTGCAGCCCTGCGATGTGCCGGAGATCCAGAAAGCCTTGTTCGCTCGATGCCGCATGTCAGTTTAGGGTTTAGGGTTTAGGGTTTGGAGAAGGATGGTTTCTGGTGTGTTAAGTTTTGGGGTCTCCGGGCTTTGAGGGTTGGTGGGGTTAGGGTTTGGGTTAGGAGATTGAAGAGCTCCTGCGTTTTGCTTGGAGGCTTGCAAGTAGTGCATGGGGATTGGCGCTTCGTGGTTTTGGCTTAGGTGCCATGCTCTGCTGGGGCCCTTCCGTAGCATGCCATGCTCTACCTGACCATACTAGAACATACTATAAGATGCTAGAATCAGCTATAATACGTAAACCAACCTTAAACCCTAAACCCTAAAACCTAAACCCTAAACCCTAAAACCAAGATGTAAAGTATGATGCCTGACTGAAGGGGAGGGCCGGGTCTGTCACTCATACGCACCCATTAGGGTTTAGGGTTTAGGGTTTAGGGTTTAGGGTTGAGAGCCTAGTTATGGCTCTTCAGGATCGAAGGTCTAGGCCAGTGCACACACAGAGACTCCAATCGTCCTAAACTCTATACAGTAGTCGTAATAGTAATAACTAGTCATATAGCAATAGCAATAGTAAATCATGACAACAGAGGCAGTCGTAATAGTAATAATCATAGACATAGCCATAGTAACAGTAAACCCAACAAACACAACTAAGCCAGAGAGTTGACGTGCACAGTTTGAGAGCTCTTGGGCTTCGTGGACAAGTTCTGCTTGGATCGGCAACCAGACTTCTGGTTCATTGTAATCACAGTTTAGGGTTTATATTTAAAGTGCAGTTTAGGGTTTATGGTTAAGGGTTTAGGGCTTATGTTCCGGGAATACTTGATGATCTGATGCCTCTGCTTAAGGGTTTAGGGTTAAGGTTTGAAGGATGGGCTTGGGGGCTTCAGTGCTTCAGTGATCACGGGCAGGAGACCCAGAATAGAGGGGTGCAATGGGGTTTAGGGTTTAGGGGACGAAAGAAGCCTTGAAAGCAGTATCCTGAGCTAGATCCGAGAAAGATAGCATGTCCAAGGTGCTGACTGGCACTCCACCCTTAAGGGTTTTCCATAAGGGATCCTATAAGGGTTCGTATAATTGTAAGGGTTCCTTTAAAGGGCTCCTATGATGATTCGTTTAATTATGAGGGCTCCTGTAAAGGACTCAGCCCTAAACCCTAAACCCTAAACAATAAACCCTAAACCTTACACCCTAAACCCTATAAGCCCCAAGCCGCAAGCACCCGGTCCGCTGAAGTGCGGCCTGGAAACTGCTTGCTTGTCGGAAACCTCATGGCAACAAGATAGCGGTTTGGGCTTAGGCTTTAGGATTTAGGGTTTAGGCTTGAGGATTGAGGGTTTAGGGTTGAGGGTTTAGGGTTTAGGGTTGAGGGTTTAGGGTTGAGGGTTTAGGGGTCTTGATACTAGTGATATTCGAACATACTTGCAGCTGGACTCAGCGAGGGTATTACTGGCTGAGGCTTCACACATCCAGATCAGGGGGTTTCGGGCTTGAGGCCGTCTTGCCGCTCTAGGTCGGGGAAGGGTTCGCAATGGAGCCTTGATGGGACAAAGAGCCTTCAACCCAGTCCAAACCCAAGCCTGAGGTCGCGAAACCTTAGACATTTCACCAGAAACCTTACCCAAAGGGTCCAAGTGCCAATTTGGTAGATGTTTAGGCCTCAAAAGTATATACCAGACTATTTCCCGGACCTTTTGGGTTAGAATCATTAATTTCGATTCATTCTTTAACCGGGCACTGCCGGCTTTCAGGAGAGGAGCCAGCATCATTCGGGCCCGTTTTGAGGCTTCGGGCCGACATTCGAAGGCAGCTCGGCCCACTAACGCCGTTAAGAACAGAGCTTAGGGTTTAGGGCTTAGGGTTTGGGGCTTAGGGTTTAGGGCTTTGGGTTTAGAGCTTAGGGTTTACTGCTTCGGGTCTAGGGCTTAGGGCTTGGGGCTTTGGGTTTAGGGCTTAGGGTTTAGGGCTCAGGGTTTGGGGCTCAGGGTTTAGGGCTTGGGTGATGTGGGACGAAGAACCAGGGTTTAGGGTGGGACGCGGGAGTTTCCAATACCCAAAAAGCCGCAGGAGAAGCATCGTCCCAAACCACCCCGCGAAGGCCCTGAACCCTCAAGCCCGAGAGCCCAGAACGCACACTTGCCTTACCCCCCAAACCGCAAACCCTACACCCTCAACCCCTAAAGTCTGCAACTTCGAGCCTTTTAAGATCGCCGGGGCACTGCCTTCGCCTTGTCTCGGGAGCTGCAGAAACTTGGCTTCAGTCCCAGCGCGCTCACTGAGACAGCTGGCGCGGCCTTAAGACTTCACTCCCCAAAGAGGTTAATGAATGTAGAGGCCTTAATAATAATAATTGGAATAAGGTTTGGGGTATATTATACTATACTTATAATAAGGAACCCCCAAAACCCAATTCTAGTTATTAAGGCTATATTATGTCTGACGCGCTCGCGTCATCGGGTGCAGGGTTCAGAAGCTAGAGCTTCACAGATAAAGAGATTGGGACAGACCAGGTGTATGAGCTTGTCTGCTTCATGCATAATATAGGGGCCTAAATAATACCCTACATTATTTTGGGGGTTCTTGATTATAACTGTATAGTACAATGGGCCCCAAAGCCCTATTCTAATTAGTAAGGCCCCTATATTACTGGCGTAGGGCCGTACAGGGCGAGATTCGGAGAGTGGGCTCCTCCGAAGTTCTCGGGATCTCTGCACGAATCAACCCAGATCTTCCTATGCAGTGCCGATATGTCGCCAAAATGCAGTGAAAGTCTTAGCAAAGGCCAACAAAAAAGAAGCAGAAAGCATCCAAAAGGTGCTGAACAGAATGTTCGGAATGCCGGTGCTTAGTAATGGGAAAAATCTTAAATCCTACAGTAATTTATAGTAGGAGTTTGATATGACTTAAAGTATCTTCCGTAATTGCGGGAAATGGAAGGTCTAGAAACCTACACCACCAAACCCCTGAACTCCCAAACCACTACATAAAACCCCGAACCCAAAACTTACCCCCTACAGCCCCTAAACCCTAAACCCTAAAACCCTAAAACCCTAAAGCCTAAACCCTAAAACACCCTAAACCCTAAAACCCTAAACCCTAAAACCCTAAAACCCCAAAGCCCTAAAACTCTAAACCCTAAGAGCCCACTTCCCATGCACCCGATTTCTAGTGCCGGGCACGGCGCGAGCAGAGCCTTCTGAGCCGCGACGAGGCGCCTCCAAGCTCGCGCCATGGCGGCGCCGACAAAAAGCAGCGAGTTGCGTAATGTAGGGGCCTTAATAATTAGAATAGGGTTCCTTTAAAGGGGGTCCTACAAGGGTTACTATAAGGGGTTCTATAAGAAGGGGCCTTAATCATCAGAATAGGGTTTTGGGGGCTCCTTGTTAAAATTGTAGTATAAAGTACCCCAAACCCCTATTCTAGTTGTTAAGGCCCCTATATTACGACAGTCACTTTCAGGATTTGGGGGTTTCTGATTAGGGGTTTTGGATTTGGGGTGTAAGGTTTTGAACTTGTGGGATTCAGGGGCTGAGGGTATGCAGGGTATGGGGCTTTGGTGTCAGGTTTGGGGTGGGACTTTGCTGTGCAAGATAGCCATCGACGAAGTTTACAGCTGAGGGCTGCTACAGGGCTGCATGCGGCGGTTTGTCTGTGCAGCTCTGAGCCCTGAGCTTGACCCACAGTATCCCAGGTGGCGGCATGTTTCCGAGCTCTCAGCTCTCATGCGTTGCTGCAGGAACTTTTAGCTCAGCTGCCAAATTGGCACGGCGTTGGCAGAGCATCAGATGAGGTAAGATATTGTGCCCAAAAGGCACGTACACCTTCCTCTAATGACTTCCACTTCCACATGATGCCTTCCTAGCTGTACCTTCTCTTGCCGTACTTTTCGCTTCCTCTGGTGCCAACATCCTTAATCTAGGGGCCTTAAGAACTAGAATAGGGTTTTGGTCCATCTGATTATACTATGCTCTATAATAATTACTTGAGGAATCCCCAAAATTTGTAATTTGTTACGCCCCTATCTTAAACTCCACGACTCAAACCCAAACACCGGAGACCCTGAGCTCAAACCCCATGGCCCAAAGCCAACCCTCCGTAACCCAAGCCCTAACCCCTAAAGCCTCAAAACCCTCAACCCTAAAACCCCTAAAGCCTGAAAACTCTGAACCCTAAAACCCCTAAAGCCTTAAAAGCCTGAACCCTAAAGCCCCTAAAGCCTTAAAACCCTGAACCCTAAAACCCCTAAAATCCTAAAACTCTAAAACCGACACCCCGAAAGCCGGAAACCCCTACCGTCCTGGAGGCGCCTTGCTAGCAGCTTCTGCTCGGCCGTAAGGCCCGGCCTCAGAATCGTGGCGCCCCCTTTTTTTCGGTGTAGGGTTTAGGGTCTAGGGTTTAGGGTGCCGAATATATGTGCGTATATACATAAACCTACTTAATGGTATAGATCTAGATATATAGGTATACATTCAGATATAGATACAGATCCTGATATAGTTATGGATATAGAGTTAGGCATAGATTAATCGATATACAGAGAAAGCTGTAGAAATGGATCAAGATATAAAGATGGACATGGACGTGGATGTAGATATTTGCATATTCTGTGTATGTATATATATATATATAGAAATCTCTCTCTCTCTCTCCTATCCATCCATCCATCCACCCACCCGTCAATCTGTCTACATTTCTGCCTGTCCGTCTGTTTGTCTGGCTGTCTGTCTGTCTGTCTGTCTGTCTGTTTGTCTGTCTGTCTGTCTGCCTGCCTGCCTGTCTGTCTGTCTTGTCTGTCTGTCTGTCTGTCTGTCGGTCTGTCTGTCTGTCGGTCTATCTGTATGCATCTTTAGCTATATCTCAATCAAGCAATCAATCAGTCCATCTATCTGTTTGTCTATCTTTCTACCTATTCATCTCTGTCACCTATCTATCATGTATCTATCTCTCTCTCTATCCATCTGTCTATCTGTCGACCCAGCTAACGAGCTAGAAGGCAAGCTACCTACCTGCCAGCCTACTGTTCTATCTGACAATTGTCGGTCTGTCTATCTACGGACGTACACAACAAAGAAACAAACAAACGAACTATTAACCCAACCGGCAGATTTACATGTAAACCAACATACCCACATGATGCACGCATCCATACATACTTGCATGCATACATAGATACATACACACACAGAGTTTCACATACATACAGACATAGTGTGTCTATACATATACGTATGTAAGTATTCTTATATATACATATAGATGTTATGTTTATGTGTACTTTACAATATCATATAACAGGTAATAAAATATCAAAAGTATAGAGCAAGAAATTTTAACACAATGTGATATTGCTTAATATGTAGTCGTACAATATACTAGAAATAATAACATGTAGTATGCATGCATACATATAGATATGTATGAATATATATATATATATATACAATATATACATATATATATATATATATAATATTCACGTCTCTCTCTGTGTGTGTACACACGCACACACACAAAGAGACACACGCATGGAGTTCATTCAGTCGTGATCACCGATGCGGAAGCGCTTACCGCCTGAAATGCGAAATGTGATGAGCCATACCATCCCATGTGAAGATGACCTGTGACGTCAACATCGCTGGCAATAAAGATGATCATAGCCAATGCAAGTGACGTTGGCAAGGTATAGCTGGAAGATGTTGGAAGCGACGACGGCTTAGTTTCCAGCATTCGTTACCATCAAACTGCTAGCTGTAGGCAACGAATCACTGAAGTCTAGGCAGCGTGGTGCATGCAGCATGTCCGAACTCGCTCGCATGCGAACTTGCACTCTCTCACCCTCATGCACTTAGCCATGTCGTCGAGGTAAGACTTCCTCCGAGGTTTTGGGGAGCAAACAGCGAATACACTCTTGCTCAGCCTGAAGTCTGATGATGTCACGAACAGTCACCGCAAGGACTTCGGGATGATCACTGATGTCCACAGAAATCTGCAAGCTCGGCACACTGCACGGTAAGCCTGCACCTCTTACCCAGATGTTAGGAAAGCCGAGGAGAGGCTACTAAGAACGCAAGACTCCTGCAGCAGCCTAACCCGAAATCCATATTGCTTGAAAGCTATGCGCAAAGGTCCGGACAAGGAAGCCGTCAGAAATTGGAGTTGCGCACCAGCTGTTTGAGACCTGCCGAGCCAAGTCAGTCTTACAAGGGTTCTGCTAAAAACTGAAGATAGGAGCCTTTATAATACCCTCCCTAAACCCTAAGTATATTGTAAAATAAGTATAACAAGGAATCCGAAATTGGGCCACTTTATTCGGTGTCTCAATGGCTTTGTTGAGGTAGCCCGGCTTGGGGGAGCTTGTGGTCTTCGGGCTTCCGGCTTCGGCACTTCCTTGGACTTAGGCCTTTCAAGAGCATCCTGCTGTTTCGAGTCCTACAATTGGCGCATGATTCAGAAACCCTGGGTCTTTCTTGACATGAACCCTAATGGATTTGGGGCTATAGGGCCAGGATTTCTTAACCAGGTGGTTATGTAGATCGCCTACTTTCTGATTCGTGTTCGAAGCCAAAACCTGCGAGCTTGAATATGGCACCTGTGCTGCAGCTGCGCGCCGCTTTGCAGGTCCTCAGCGACAGGAACGCTTGACAGTTGGACAGGGGGCGAGGTGGTGGGCAGCTTGTATGCGCCTGGCAGAAGCTCCCTTGTATCCATGTGCAGACATAGATTCGCATGAGCGGTGCAGGCACAAGTAAGGCACAAGCGGACAGGTGAACAGTCGCTCCCGTGGGCATTAGTGACAACCGTACTTCTTGAAAGAAGCCCTCCCTTCAGCAGCTACTGAAGGCCACGGTTTGAGGCTTGAGCTACTGATATCTTGGTTGATATTATATGTTATTATCATAATATAATATTACAAGCGGTGATATATTATACTATATCATATCCATATACACTCGTGTGCAGAACTGCTTCTCGACGATGGAAGTCCACTGTGCAGGCATGACAGGAGTGTCTGAGGGCGGCTACCGTTGCCTTTACTTCTCGTGCTACTACCAGCTTCGTCTTGGTTTGTGTTACGACGAATGCTTCCTGCGCTGTTGCTTTGCTCTGAACCTCTCTCGGCATCTACCCGATGCAATAAATCATAAATCAAAACCTAAACAGGTCCACAAGTCATCCGACCTCCACCCCCTGCAGCCCATGTCCGCAAACTCCCCTTCGCCCTTCTATGCACACACTTGGCAACGGAAAGTCCCATTGTGGAGGGGGTCTGCGGGGCAGAAGATGCTCCTCTGAAGGAGCCGAAAACTGAAATCAAGAAACCCTAAACCCAAAACTGACACCGAATCTCTCGAGCGAAAAAGGAATGTGCAGTCGGCAATCCCTTCTACATCCCAGGCTTCCGGTTGAGATGCAAACGGCCGGGTGTACTTTTCGTCTGCTTGTTCACATCAGCGTTGCTCTATGCTTGACTTTCCGCAGCCATGATCATGTGCCCTCTTTGATTGCGACCAAAACTACTTAACCCTTACTGTAAGTGACTGTTCTCTTCTGCCAAGCCGTCCCCCCAAAAGCAATCCCACATCCTGAGCGCGACTCTCGAACTCTTAACCCTGCCCTAAAACACGTAAGTCAAACCGAAACCCTGGCAATCCTACCTCCATCCGTATTCTCCAAACTCGAAACTCAGCAAATGAAAACACTTACTCCTAAAATTCCTGAAGCCGTGAACCCAAACCCATCAACAAGCCTTATAACAGCAGCAATTATACTGGCCACGTCAACACTATGTGCAGTAAACCCCAGAAAGCCCGAAACTCGAGCCGAAAAAACGAATCGACAAGTAGAATACACAACAAGTAAGAAATTATATCATACTCTAATACCATGATGTACCATGATACACTCTAACATACTATAACAGAATATTACAACAGCAGTTCTCCGACTGATCCGAGCCCCGAGCGCCCTGGAGTTCCTGCCGCTGGGCTGCGAGGCGCCTCTGCGATGCTACGGCCATCAGTGCTTTGGGGGTTCTTTCATTGGGACCTTAAATAACTAGAGGAGGGTTTTGGGGTATACTATACTATAACTATATTAATAAGGAGCCCCCCAAAAAATAGCACAGGTAACTATTAAGGCCCCTATGTTAAGGTCACAGAGTATAGCGTCGTAAACGATAGTAAGATTATAGAAAAACTACAGTGTCGTAGATCATAATAAACAAATGGTATC